ACTAGAGATTTAGAGATATACAGTTCAAAAATATTTAAGCTAGTTTTTGGTTAACTTTTTCAAACAGGTTTGGCTAAAAAACTTAGGAGGTAGGCCCTTTAAAACATTTATCTAATCATCTTTGGTAAATGAGATTTTTGGGCAGGAATCAAATATAGCCCGCAATTTGTATATGAAAATATTTACGAGTTGCAATATTTTCAGTACAGCGGGCAATTAAGAATTTAAAATCGAATGAAAATAAATAAATAAAAAAATAAATTAAGAACCGAATAGAAAAACAGGGAAATGGTTCGAATCGTGAAGCGAAGCAGCGTCATCTTTTGCAGCTCAGCTAAAATGTCGCATAGCTCCACTAGGAACCCTCGATTGGAAACAGAGTTTTTGCAAGGGTATTTAATATTCGGCTTGCCGAATACAGATTCTCTTTTTGCCACTCACCAATCTTCCTGTATCAGATAGTTGCGATCATCGTAGGCATTCAGCTCCTTCAGCTCGCTGATGGTGATGCCGTAGAGACGTCGCACCAGCGGCTCCACATGCTCCGGCTGCATTTTGGGCTTGATATCCGAGCCGGGCTGCAGCACAACATTGCTCTCGGGCGGATTGCTGACGTTGCCGTTGCCGTTGCCATTGCCATTTCCATTTGTTGCCGTTGCCGTGACCTCCGTGCCCGCCGTGCCCGTCGTCTCGTTGCCCTTGTTAAGCCTCTCGGCGCCATCGTAGTCGTGATTCAGTGTGTACGACTTTTTGGTAATGCTCGTCAGCTCCACATTGTTCCATTGCTCCATTTTGGGTTCCAATTGTTGTTGTTGTTGTCTTTATCGGAATGCAACGACAAAAAATAAAAAGTATTTCAGAACGTGCCAGTCGGCTGCCATTGACTGCAGAATACTCTGTTCACAGTGCAAAAACAGGACGAAAAGTCTTGGCTTCAAAAAATAAGAAGCAAGGCTCTAAAACTGTAAGGCTGATACCGTTACAGTTTAAGCCAGGGCAAGGCAGAGCTAGCTGGTCTATAGGAACAGTGGCTGCAAAACTGTAAGACAGAGCTTTAAAACTGTGACAATTGTGAGGGCTGAAGACGACGGCAATAAATGTGGTTGCATCTTTCGAGCAGCTCAACAGAATCTATTTATCATCTGAAACCGATCGCTTACAATTTTTGTATAGTTGAGATTCCAAGTTACAACTAATATGCCTTTTATCACTTTGTGAACAGAGTATGAAACAAAAAAAAAAAGAAGTCGTATATAGCAACAGATCAGAATACACGCGATGATGTTGGCACGATCGAAATGTGCTCGGTTTTGCGCTCAGAAGCGAAATGAATTGAATTTCAGATTGGGGGACGACGCGGGGACGCAGCGCTTCAATTGAAACGAGTTCGTCGTCGGCGTCGACGTCGACGTAAACATCTTCATATCTTACTGTACTGCGTGTGCGTGCGTGTGTATGTGTGCGTGTGTGTGCGTGTGTGTGTGCCGCGCCTGTTTCGTTTACCCAGCTAATTTTTGTTATTTATTTAATTTTTTATAACCTTTTAATGTTTACAATTTGATTGCGACGCGGCTACACTGTTACCCGGCTCCCTGCTTCCCTCTCCTTAGCCCAGGGACTTCATTTTTTAATACCCTCTCTTTTTTTTCTCTACTTTCTTTTATTTTTTGTTTATCAACACTGCCCAACCGGGACGCAAAATAAACAAACCTTAAGTCGTGCTCGCACCCAATTAAATGAACTCAACGTTAATCAATGTACTCTACATATTAATACCCTGCATTTATATGTGTACATACATATGTATAAATCGTATAGATTGGCTTGCAAGCGATTAGGACGCCCTAGTTGCCATTCAGATAGTATAAATCAGCAACTATCAAGTGCTGGCAATTGCCAGACAAAACAAACTCAATTGAGCTGTAAAATAAACTAGTCTACAAGTTGTATTGAACAAACAATTGTGCAATATGTTTATTTAATTGCTTCTTATACCCTGTACCTAATGAAGCAGAATGAGCCATAAGATACTTCTACTTCTTTGATCTAATAATTTACATATCTATGTATTATTGATTAAAAATATATTCACATATTTAAATTTCAGTTTTATGCACTGAAAGGAAATTTAAAATACAGCTGTCTTGCATAAATATATAGCTGGCTACAGGGTATCTTCTAATCGGACACTCCCAACTAGAACACTTTCTTATTTTCTATCTTTTTTTTTAGTGTAGAGGGAGTAATGCGCATTTTAAGTGCTGCTTGAATGAATGGCAAAGACAGAGATAGAGAGAGAGAAAGAGAACTCATTATAAATGCGTTAATATGTGTGAACAATTATATAATAATTGTTAAAGTTTTTCCGTTGCCGCTTTAAAAACTGAATGAATGAGCGAGCTAGCCGCTGACCTTGACTCTAATGCAGTTTTGTTGCTCATACGCCGCATTGTAGCACTTGCACTGCGCTGCATTTGCCACTGGGCAGGCGCACATACATATGCACATACGCACGCACATAGATACATGTGCATACATACATACGTACAAGAAACACAATAAACGCACGCACGCACATGCCAATAAGCACAGCTGATTGTTAATTATGAAAATTAGTTAGCAACAATATAGAAGTTTCAAGTACGTACTTATAATTCACGTTTCGGCAAGCAAAACACGCACCTGTTTCGTACAACTGGTCAAATTAAACTAACGTTTAGTTTTTGGCTCGATACAACGGTGAGCACAGCCTAAGCGCTGGCTTTGAATGTGTAGAGAACGCGTGAGGGGCTGGCATACAGTTGTTGCACAATTCATAATTTGTGTGTTTAGCGGCGCAATAAACATAAATCGTTTTTAAGTGTGCGCACAACAAAAACAAAATAAAAAGCTAATTAACAAAGCAATAGCGAAATCAATCGAAAAACAATTCAAAAAATGCCAACGCGCGCGGACAGGTGAATGGCAGTTGGCTGCTTCTTGTGCCGTTGCAAACAGCTGTTTTTATTTATTTTGCACATAACCTCAAACGCACTTTGATTTAATTTTTTTTTTTTGGTTTTGTGTTTGAATTGATTTTGTGTTTTAATTTAATTCTCCTTAGTTAAATGCTTAGTTAAATCAATAAAACTATGGATCAACTGTATGTGGAGATTGAGCTAAGCACTCAAAATGCCGAAACAACCATATACACCAGCGTGCCTTCGTTCCTAGCGCTCTACACATATCGTTACCTTAAGGAGCCCCAAAACATTAAGGTCAACTTTGTGGCCAGTAAAATAAGTGATGGCAAAATAGCTTTACGTAGCTCTCAGCTGAGACGCGAACTGACCGATCAGCATATCACATGCCGCGAGGCTGCCACCCTGCCCGCCCTCCGTGATCTACGTCTGCCCATCTATGAGCGTGATGGAAACATCTTCATTGCGGGCACCTGTGCCGTTTGCCGGGAGCTCATTGCACGCCAGCCCAGTGCGCATTTACGCCAACTGTTGGGCTTCAAGGGCAGCTGCCTGTTGGCGCCAGCGGAGGCCTCCATATGGACACGCTTCTGTGAAGTGGACATGGTTAATCTGGTGAGCCAGCTGCAAGGTGAGGAGCTGCAGTTGCGCGAGGTGCCCGTCGAGGTAGTGCGCTTTGAGCAGCACATGAACCAGCCGGTGCGCATGCACAACATCTACAAACTGGCCAGAGAGCAGGCAAATCAAACCGAATACGGAGTCCCTGTGAAGCGGAAGGAGCGTGTGCTCATCGAATGCAGCATACCCAAGGAGCAGCTGCTGATCGAACATCGTTTCGCCGAGGGCATTAGCTTTACAATAGCCGATCTTATACTCTATCCGCTGCTGCGTCTAGTCTTTCAGCATTGTGCCCAGATGCTGCCGCATTTTCCGCTCACCAGCACCTGGTTCAGTGAGGTGCGTGGGATAACATTTATTTGCATCCATTTGAAGTTAATTTGAATTTCTTGCAGATCGACAGCTTCGACACAAACTGTGCGCGCATCCTGCACGAGTTGTATGTGCCCATGCTGGTGGCGCCGGCGGAGAACACACAATTGCTGAGCATACCCGACTGCGAGGAGGCCAGCCTGTACAAAGCCGATCCGAAGCGTTATCGGCCACGCAATCGCATATACACCAGCCAGGCAGAAGTGGAGGCAGCGCTGGCCAAGCTCACGCCTCTGCAGTTGCACTTTAGCGCCGACTCGGAGCATTCTTATGGCCAGCAGTTGATCGATTGGCAGGTTATTGAGCCCACGCATGCCAAGAGCTCAGCGCTGCCGGCAGAGCGTCTGGAGCGCAAGCGTCAGCAGCTGGAAAATATGGCCAATGCGGTCGTCTCACTGGCACAGCCCGGCGATCGCATTGTTGACTTCTGCAGCGGCACCGGCCATCTGGCCATACTCCTAGCCCTCAAGCTGCCCCAGTGCACGGTGATTGTGCTGGAAAACAAGGCCTTTTCGCTGGCGCACGCTCAAAAGCGTGCGGCCGAGCTTAAGCTGAACAACTGCGTCTTCTACCAGTGCAATATTGACTATTTTATGGGCCGTTTCGATATAGGCGCCTCGCTGCACGCCTGCGGCACAGCCACCGACATTGTCCTGCAGCAGTGCCAGCGGGTAAATGCGTGTTTCGTGTGCTGTCCCTGCTGTTATGGTTCGCTGCAGCCCATGCCACACATTGCCTATCCGCTGAGTGCACGTTTCCGTGAGGTGCTCGATACGCGAGATTATTTGTACATAGCCCACACGGCGGATCAGGCTCACGAATTGGGCACCAGTAATTGCAAGCCGGAGACAACGTTGCAGGGTCTGCACTGCATGTGTATTGTGGACACAGATCGTAAACTGCAGGCGGAGGAGGCCGGTTACCAGGTGATACTCACACGCCTCAAGCCGGAACAGTGCACGCCAAAGAATCATTTGCTAGTCGGACGTTATGTGCGCCGCAGTTGAGTTATGCATTTATGCAAGGTTAAACTAAATATATGTATTTTCGTATATATGTAAATACCGTTGACGGCTTTTATTTGAGTAACATGAAAGTGCTTTGTAGAAAATGACTTAATGGGGTTACCAATTTACTAAGACGAGTTCAACACGCGGGCGCCAGTCTAATTTTGAGTTAGTTGATTTTCACCGCCACGCAAAGCCAGCACCAAATGTAACACTGAGCCGCCCTGCACTTTATAATCCGCCGCCGTTTTGTCATCGTTCCTATTCAGCAGAAAAAAATAGAAGGAATTAATAATAAAATTTAGGTTCGTCTGCGGCTGTGTGACGCACATTTGTTTGCCGGAGAATATGAGACGTTGTTGTTGCGGTGGTATGCCTTCTTTTTCCTCGACACGCTCCTTGATGCGATCAACCTTATCTGTGGGTTCAATGTCAATTTCTATTTCCTTGCCCGTCAGTGTCTGTTAGAACAAAATTATAATTATTGGCAAATTTCGATTGCAGTCGGTTTTTGTTGTTGTGCGCCAAAGCTGACGCATGGTTGGCGGGGCCTTATTCTAGCCGCTTTGGCCTGATAATATATATACCAAATTTATACCTACCTTCACTTTAATCAACATTGTTGTAGTGTGTGTGTGTGTGTGTTCGGCTTTCCTGAATACCAATTAATTTAATAATTTTATTTTATTACAACTTTTCGCAAGCTAGTTCCTGGTCGCGGCGTTTTTGCGAATGTCATTCGAGCGGTGCTGCCAACTTGATCAAATCGACACTCAACTTCGCGGTGAATGGCGATATCAGGCGTTTTCGATTAATTTCGATATTTTTGGCGCCGTTACACTGATCTAGTCATGGTCGAAAATCTTATACTAGAATTTCTTAGAGTAAATGTTTAGTTTATTTATTGTTGTGTGACATTTTGTACAAAAGTTTTTCTACACTTTTTACTTACAATCTAAATACCTATATTCATGAATACCTAAATCAAATGCATTTTGTTCTAAACAGCGAGATCCACCGATCCGTTTTCCGGGATCTCAGGCAGCTTTCTTGAGTTTGTTGACGGCGTGCACCGCCTCGCTAATGCGTCGAATGTCCCGAGCATAGGTTCTGCAACAGCCGCCAATGATTTTGGCACCCAACTGTGTCCACTCCGGCACATAGTTCTCGAGCGGCACACAATGCTCACGTCCCTGCCAGCCGGTTGTCACATCGTAGACCTCGCCGCTATTCGGATAGACCACCAAGGGTATCTGCTCGTCGGCAGTGCGCTCGCCATTCAAGCTCTTGAACAATGGCGTCACAAACTTGGGATGCACACAATTCACGCCCAATGCCAGACACTTGTCCAGAGCTTTGCGCTCGCGCAGTATATCCCAAATGGCGTTGGCTGCCTCGGCAAAATCTTCGCCATGCGCCAGCGTGCTCTCGTCCTTGCACTGGAAGGCCACCCAGAATTTGACCTCGGGATAATCGTCGCAAAGCATTTCAACCAGCGCCTCGGCCTCCATTTGACAGGGTATCGTTTCTATGGCCAACGCATCGACGCCCGCTTCCAGGCACGCCTCGATGCGAACGCGATGCCAATCCGTTATGGTCTTCGGCTCCACATAATCCGCATAGCTGCCGGTATACTCGGAGCCATCGTGCAGATGTGCGCCAAACGGTCCAATCGAGGCAATAATCAGCGGGAAACCTGTAAGAGCAGAGTCCAAGATTAAGCGATTAGGCAAGTACATTAATTTAAACAAGTACACTGATCGACAAGTTTCGTTCCCAATTCAAAAATGATTGGCAAAGCTTGTTCTGATCTAACCATTCACTATTCAAGATTAAACGATCTATGGAATTGCGAACATTTCTTGGAATGGAATGGAATGGAAAAAACGTACTAACCTTCGGGCACCGCCAGCTGTGCCTCGTAGCATTCCGTCAGATACTTCTCTTTGGCAATGTGCGCCAATCGCACCGTATTCTTGATCAACTCGATGCTCTCCTGCTCGTCCAGCTCCAGGTACTCCATGTAGCCCTCGACGCTCGTCTGATAGGTGTTGGTCAATATCATATCAGCGCCATCTGTCGGTGAGTGGCGTTCAATCAGTTTGTTGCCAAGCCAAATATATTTTTGTGGCATACACACTTACTCTGCAAAAAGTCCAAGTGTGTATTTATGACAGCTGTCGGATTTGTGGCATTGAACCGAGCACTCCACAGCGGATCCCCGTCCACAGAATTGCCCACATGCACGGTCATCTGTGTGCCAAAGCCGCCATCTTTCACCAGCAAACGCGTCGAACCCATGATTAAATGAATGTGCTGCGGAAAGGAAGGGCCAGTTTTGATGGCGGGTTATTCCATATATACATATATTAATAGCCGACCTACTGCAGATAGGAGACGCGCACAGCTTTACATCGCTGTAATTGCGCTTATCAGCACGGCACAGCACAGCTGGGCCGGAGTGCTCTTTGTGCCGAGTGCGAGTCTGGACACCTGCCTAAACGCACGACTTGTTTGTGCAACTCACTGATTATTAAAACAATTATAAGCAATACATTGTAGTTCAAACTATTTACCCGATAACCTTGTTTTTTTTTTTAACACCATAGCGGGCAGAGTTCAATGAACTTAAGTGCTTAACACCCAAATCTCGGTTGTGGAAGATTTTTTGGTGCACTCACGTGTTTGTCTAACACGAGCACGAAATAAACACGACTCTTCTATACTTTAATAACTCTATCCCCATTGGATTGGATTTAGAGACACGATCCTCACATTCGATAAAGCAACTTTTGACCGACTTTCGGTTCTTTTCAAATATTCAGCAGAGTATTAAGCAGTCGGCTACATTCTGAACGTTTTTCCCTTTTTTTCTATATATTTTTAATGGGTTTTCTTTATTTAATAATTAATTTTTGATTGCAATCTTTTGATATACTAATTTATTTAGCTTGACTTTTATTCTATATATGCCTCATAATATATTTTTTAAGCACGCGCACGATAGCAGACACGAACACGCGCTCCGCTCTAGACACGACTTTGTGAAGACTCACCTTGAAAGCTTATAAATAGATGTTGTAATTGATTAAATTGTTTTTATTTGTGCGAGACGAGGCGTACAACAACGTGTTGTGTGTGCTTGGAAAACAAATATTATTAAATTCCGTTCAGTCTGGAGCTGATATTATGTGCCGTGGACGTTCTAAGCGCGTTTAAGTGGTTTACAATGCCGTCTGGTTGCTTTTATAGCGATGTGCTTATCACGAAAGTACAAAACAAAAAACGTACAAATGCAAAAGTTTCAACAAAACAAAACCAAAACCAAACAAAACAAGCCAACGGAGCGCCCGCCCGGCCAAGTGATAAGATTCTGATTCGACGTCCAGCTGCCAGGCAGACAGATTGAACCGAAAGTATCTGATGCAATTGCCAAGCAGCCAATTGGAGGGCATTCACCAGCCGGCATCCTTTGCGGCATTACTTTCCGCTTAAATAAGGGTATCATAGGAAAACTATCGATCCGGCTGCTAACCATGTCCAGATTCCGTCTGAATCGGCGTTGTCTGCCTTGATAACCCTTGGCCTGATCGTGTGAACCGGACAGCCGGACATATGGCTTAAGCCATTCCCAAATGTACTCAAAACGGAACAGAGACTGCAAAGACTATTGTTAATTTTGGCGTGCCGAATTTTCAATACCCTATTTCTATGCTCAGATAAAGTTTGTTGAGGGCAAACAGACCCATATCTATATATATATAGAGATGTATAACATAGCTAGCCCTTGATAAGATTCTGATCATGTGCAGCATAATCAAGCTGGTAAAAGATAAGTTATACTGAACTAAATGCTTAATCGATAGTTGCTACGACAGCTGTATAATGGAACTATATAATATAAAACTACGATAATATACTGCTCCGATCCAGATCTGGGATCTAGGTCAAGTTTATAAGCGCTAGCTTGAAAGCTGGGCAACTTTTTTTTTTGCATAGTAAGCGACATATGGTCAATGGAATCTTTCTAAGATAATGATACGCTTTGCAACCGATTAATTCAAATATAGCATCTATATATATATATATAAAACGGTCTGCTTGGCGACATTAATCTGCTGAATCTGGCGAATTTTGAGCTCGGCTCTCGTACAGTTAGGAACACTTATATTTTAACATAGTATATATATATATACTATATATATATATAGGTCTAGGCCGAGATGAATGAATATAATATACTGAAGCACGCCACGCACACGCACACAATTAACAAGAAACTAGGGAGGTTTGTATTGGCGAATCGGGCTGCTGTGCAATCTTGTCGATTGTGTTGCGTATTTCGAGTATATCGTCCGGATAGACGCGACAGCAGCCGCCAATGATGCGTGCGCCCAGCTGGAGCCATTCGGGCACAAATGACGTGACATTCAGGCCGTTGCCCGTCCATTCGCCGCGCTCGCTGTCATAGATCTCGCCACGATTGCTGTAGACGACCAGCGGTATTTTCTCGTCCGGCGGCGTGATGGCCAGCAGAGATTTGAGTAGCGGCGTTACATAGCTGGGATTCACGCAATTGACACCGATGCCCAGCAGGCGGGACTGCGCCTTGAACTCCTGCACCAGGCGCCAAACGGCCATGGCGGCCTGGGCAAAGGATTCGCCATGGGCCAGGCTGCTCGCATCCTGCAATGAAAGTGGACAGATTGAATGCGAGTCATAATACAACAAAGCGACACTAACCTTGCACTGAAAGGACACCCAGAAGCGTGCCGTGGCATATCGACTGAGTATCAGCTCCGTGACGGCCATCGCCTCCAGCTGGCAGGGCAGCGTCTCCACGGCCAGGCCATCGACGCCCGCACTTAGGCACGTATCGATGCGCACCGTGTGCCATTGCTGCAGCTGAGTGAAGTTGACCAGATTCGCATAGCTGCCCGCGTACTCGGAGCCGTCGTGCAGATGGGCACCGTACGGTCCGATCGAGGCCATAATCCAGGGCATGTCGGGCGCAATGTTGCCATTGCTGGTGGCCAGTTCGCCCAGGTGCTGCGACTTGGCCTGACGCGCCAGATGCACGCTCTTGGCAATCAGCTCGATGCTCTCCTCGCGCGATTTGCCCAGATGCTTCATGAAGCCCTCCACGCTGGACTGGTACGTGTTGGTAAGTATGATGTCGGCGCCGTTGCGCAGAAAGTCCAAATGGGTTTTGACCACGGCCGCCGGCTGGGTGGCATCGAAGCGTGAGCCCCACAGTGGGTCGCCGTCAACCTTCTCCTGTACGTTGCGCGCCAATTGGCTAGAGAAGCCGCCGCATTTGACCAAAACGCGCGGCTTCTCCTTCACCTGGTTCCAGTTGCCGGTAAAGGCGGGCAGCATCTTGCAATTTTGGGCTACGTGAGTGCTGCGACTGCATATAAATAATATATGTATATATTTTTTATAAACTCGATTTGCGTGATTTGCCACGGTTCTACCTACTTTTGAGCGTACGTGATATTGTGAATTTTGCTGATATCTTGATTTATGTTTTGTTGTTTTGCTCGACGCTCGCTTGTTTTTTTTTTTTTTTTCGAAGTTTCTTAAACGTTGTTGGCAACGCAAGAGTTGTACGGTATTTTTCTTATATTTTCTCGCATTCCCATTCATACTTACACGCACACATGCTTGCCGCGACACAGCTGATTACTGTTTACACTTGTTGTTGTTGTTGTTGTTTTGAAGGTACAAATGTGAACAGTGGCGTTCAGCAAAACGTTACGGCTAGCATTTACACTGGCTGCACAAAAAAGATGCAGAGCTTTACTCTTTTATTTGTTGTGAAACAAGTTTATTCGCCGAGTATAATATATATATAAATAGATATAGATATTTTATATAGTCGATAATAATACATATTCATAAACAAAGTGAGTACGAATTTCATTGAAATATTTGTGGCCATATTCAAACGGCTTTGTTAGTAAATATTATCATGTTGTTTAATTGATCATTTTTTTTTTTGTTTTTTTTTGGGTGTTAGGGTATTATAATCACATTGAAGTTTTGTATATATGTATGCATACAAGTATAAATAAATAATAGTGTGCATTTGATAAAGCAAATCAATTGGAAAATGCAATAAACAAATAAATGTAACTTTGGTAAACTTACGCAATCGTATAAATTCTATATAATTCATTTGCAACATCTGATCAAATGCGCTACAACTAATTTACAGTTTATTTTTGCACTAAATAACAGCTATAATATTAGTTATATATTTTTTGCAATTTTTAGGTTAGCTGCTTTATTTGCTTTTTTTTTTATCGGAGTTTTGAGCTCTGGTTTTAAAAATTGCCAGAGAAATACTTTGCTCAAAAAATACATGATCTGCGCTTGGAACGGTGTATATATATATATATATGTTCTATATATATATATATATATATGTATGTAGGTATATCTCTACGTGCATGGAAGTTAATTGCGTGTGTGTGAGTGTGTCTTTGTGTTTGTAACTGTGGCGGCTGCTGATATAAGTATAAAAAATACGCATAAATATAACAAAATCAAATAAAAATAGAGTAAATACGCACACTGAGAGAAAAGTAGAAGCCAATGCCAATTTTTAAAACATTATCTCAGTCTACACTCTGTTATATTTTTATAGGAATTTTCCACGCGCACTGATAACAGCGTGCCGATAAGCACAGCCACGACTGTAAGCGGGTGGCGGGTGGGCCCGCCCGCTCTCTCCCTCTCTCTCTGTCACTCTAGCTCGCTTTCACTTAGGAGAAGAGATTGTTGCGTCGTTTGAGCGAACCAAATTTCTTTTCCGCCTCGAGCAGCATTTTCTCCTTGCGCACAACCTCGAATGGAATCGTTTTGGACATGCGATCGATTTCCTGATCCGATGGGAAATCCTCAAAGCTCATGTTGCTGAAGCCCGTCTTGGCCGAGTTCTGTATGGTATTGGACTGGAATTGCGAATTGCGAGTGTTGCTGCCACGACTGTTCTCATCCTGGGCGACCTTGACATCGTCATCGTCATCGTCGTCGTGCGATTGATATTGGAGGCGCTGGTGTTTTTGCTTGCTGCCGGAGCTAAGGGATGATGTGGAGCCCAGCGCGCCAGCGCTGACTTTTTTATAGGCATGTCCTTTGACCTTTTGGGTTAGCTTGGCCGGCAATGCTCTCACAGCCAAATGGGACTTCTCCTTTTTCGGCTTAATGCCGGATGCCGCCTCGCCGTCTGCCACCAAGTCGGCAGCGCGCAACACCACGGGCTCCTCCTCGTCGTCGGGCGTGAAGTCCGAGCAGCGTTCTTGAGAGATTTGGACAAAACCATTATCGGCAATGGCCAGCAGTGGCTGCAAGTGTGCTGCTGGCGGTGGTGTCGGTGCCGGCGGGATTTGTGTGCTGATTGCGGGCAAGGGAATGCTGCAGCACAAGCTGCTCGTGGCGGGCACATTCACATAGACGCTGATGCTGCTGCTGCTGCTGTTGGCGGCGGCGGTGGTAGAGGATGTCGTGGTTGTGGTGGTGCAGGAGCTGCTGCTGCTGCTGGTGGTGCTGGTGGAGCAGTTGGGATTGTGATTGGTCAGCGGTTCGGGCGTTTTATTGATTATAATCGAATGATTGATGGTCACAACGGGAGCAGGAACAGGAGCATTCACTTTGATCACATTGTTGTTGTTGTTGTTGTTGTTGTGGTTGTGGCTGGGATAGTCGGGCGTGACAACAACACATTTGCGTATTACCTGCGGAAATGGCTCCGAGCCAAAGAGATCGCGCTGCTCCTCCAAATGCTGCTGCTGTTGCTCCTTTGCTGGCGTCTCTATAAACGGATTAAAGATGGGCTCATTGAACTCATCCAACTGCTGCTGCTGCTGTGCCGGCTGCAGCTGCTCCTGCTGCGCTGGAAAGTTGGCAAAATTGGCCGCCTGGCTGGCGGGCGTCTCGCCCTGTGCACCCTTCACCGGCGTGGAGGTCCACATTTCCGGCTCGCTGGGCCGGTGGCGCGCCAGCTTTGGCTTGGCCACACGCTTGGGCGGCTTGCCCACGGGCAGCTTGAACGGTGCCATGGCAAACACATCTAGCTCATCCTCAGCGGGCTCAACAACGGGCGCCGCAGCTGGCGCGGATTCAGTGCTGCTCTTGCTCTCCGCGGAACCATAGTCCAGCTCATCGTCCAGCAGCAGCGGCCGATCACCGAATTTGTGCAGCAAATCGCTGGACGTGGGACTCAGCTCCTCGTTGACGGGCGCACAGCCGGTGCTGGCTTCTGTTGCCGCGGCCACCGCTGCGAAACGATCCTTTTTGCGCAGGCGCACCTTGACCACAACACGGCTGCGCACATCGTCCTCGTGCGTGGTGACGCTCTCGCACTCGGCATGGTAGGCCGAGCTGCTGCACGTCTTGACGCTCTCGCTGATGCCGTCCATGTCCAGGGGCAGAGCACGTCGTGGCTTGGCTTGTGTCGCATGGCGGGGATTCTCATCAAATAGATCATCATCCTCGGCACGCAAATCGCTGGCCGAGCCAATGGAATCGGCATCATCATCGTCCGATTCCACACTGGCCGCCGCCTGGGCAGCTGCCGCCGCCTCCGCCTGCGCAGCCTGGGCAGCCACCGCGGCGGCCATCAGATTTAGCTGCTGTGCCGCCTGCTGTGCCGACGATGAGGGTCGCTTTGTGGTCGCCGTTTGACGTAGTTTCTTCACAATCGGCAAGTGCGTTGTCTTGTCCACCTTCTGGTAGGCCACCTGCTGGATCTTGTGTATAGTCTCCGGTATGTTGCTCGTCACGATCTGCTTGAATATGGCTGCCTTCTTGGCGCTGCCACCAACTCCACCACCACCACCGCCGCCATCGTCGCTATCCTGCTGAAAGAACTCCGAGTCGGAGTCATCGGATGTGGGCTGATCGTTGCTGCGCAGCTTCTCATACTTGTTGCGATCCTCCAGCGGCAGCTTGACAAAGCCCGACGTAGAGACAGCTCCGCCACCGACGCAGCCATCGCTCTCGCGCAGGCCGATGCCATCGGAATCCGTTTTCAGGCGGCTCAACAGCGAGGTTTTATCCTCCTCCAGTGTGGGCGACAGCAGCCACTTGGACGAGCTGGACGAGATCATAGCATTGCCGGTGCTCGCCGTGATGCTGGGCGTGCCACCGCCCGAGGAGCAGCTCACAATGAATTTGGCTGTGAACGAGATCAAGTACTTTTATGCAGTAAGGTAATGAGTTTACGAGCTAGTTCGAGTCTAAGGTGCGTTGCCTGGATGAATAGTTGGGACAGTTGTCCCAGGATTAGGTTACACCATAGAATATGTATATATATTTAGATGCGTGTGTATCTATGAGCTGAGTGTGTGAGTACGTGAGTGTGTGTGTGTGTGAGTGTTGTGTGCGTGTTATATTTGAGATTAGTTAAATGTGGCGAAGAGACTCCTCGATGTCATCCTTGGAGCTGTGAGTTAACGATGATCTATGGATACATTGATTACGGGTCTATGCACAGGGCGACAAGATTAGAGCTCTATAAGTAACACTTTTAAGAATAGGACTATTTTTATCTATGGGAGCTATAAGATAATTATTCGAATTCCCGCATGCTCTACATAATTTCAGATCTATAGAAGATATTTAAAATATTTCTAAAATTCTCGAATAGAACGAACATTAAATACCCTACATATAAGACACAAATCAAAGATATCATCTCATTTGTGATATATTTAATTTAATTGTTCTTCAACTAAGTCCAATTTTTAATAAATAATACCTAGCTAGATATGGTTATCTGTATATATCATACAATATATATATTTGCAAATTCTTGTTAATAAACAAATTTCTATTAAATTGATGCGAAACTAGAAAATATACATTGGGCTAAGAAAAAATCGAAAAGTTACTCAAACTCTATTTCCAATTGCATATGCCCTTAGTACCCTTCCGTAGGGTATAAAAATATATTTTTAATTTATTGTTTCTAAAACTAGATGAAAAACTTGTAATTTGTGTGGATTTTTAAATACTTTTGCCCTGTGCATAGCCTTTGGGTGTTAGTAAATAGTTATTCTCAAACAATTCCCATTTAAATTTAAGTACAGTGATCGCTCGCAGACAAGAACGAGCTGAGTTTTAACCCAAGACAGCTTTTTCGCATACCAAAAATAGTAGGAAAATATATATACATAATTCTAATAAGCCTTACGTTAATTTTAAGTATGCCATTTGCATTAAATTAATTACTTAAATTGTTTGAATTTAGACTAGAAAATTGTAAGGCATGGAAAAAGGCAATTTTTGAGTGTAACAATTCGATTTATGTCCGAACGATCACTGGAGCTCTTAAGTTAGCTAATTAAATTTTGTTTTCGTTTAATTTTCTTTTGTTTATTGCATTTGAAATCGGGTTTAAAAGGCTGCTTAACGTTCATACAATTTTATCTTTGTGGTTTTGTGTTTTGTTTTGTTTTTTTTTTTTTTAACTTAAATTAACGATGCGCGTTTCTGGCTCTTCCAACTTTTTATATATAAATATATAGTGCTTTCATATATGTGTGTGTTTATATATATATATATATATATGTAGATATAT